ACGATCGAATAAGGGAAAGGAAAGATAAGTCCAGCCCCGGACCGTACTTTCAACAGTACGCTAATTGGGGTGGGGAGATGCGTCCAGCACAAACACATAATGTAGTACATAATCGCCGCGATTTTTGCACCTTGTTACACCGGTTGGTGGATGTTAGACTGTCGCTTTTGCCGCGTCGCTGTATGTAGCCTTAGGGTCGGGTCATGCTTTGCAGTTCGGGTTGCAGTTCGAGTGTGGATTAGGTAAGTATCCATCGTACGTTTGTGCGAACAATTCATATCTACTCCACATACGAACTTTAGACCCGAAGTGGTAAGTATGGCCCGACCCTCTACCATTTTTGTCGCATAGGCACTTCACAAACCTCGGCAGATTGGAACCTCACTAATTGTTACATTGCAAGCAAAGCGAGCTCGTCACCTTCACTTAAACCTACACCAGAAAATTCGAAACTACAAAACTGTATGGAATCTTTCAGAAGTGGCTTCAAAGCGCAGAACATACCCATGGTAGTTTGTCCCTTTGGACGAGGAAGGAACTCAGGCCAACAATTCCAGCGAGTTTGTGTGGATAGGTGAGACCAGCGTAGAGAGCCACTGCTCCTCCCATTGAAAAACCTCCTAGCATGATTTTCTCCGATGGAATGCCAGTCGCCATCTATAAAAAACAAAGAGCTGGTCACGTCACTATTCTGAAATAGGAAAAGATAGAAGAGCGGGGTCAAACGGCACATTGAATATGGGAATGAGAACGCCAGCTTGGTTCGATTTATTTGGATTAGACGCTAGCGCCTGCGAGGATTCAGATGGAATAGCCCAGGCTACACGAATTGTTCATGGGATGATCGATGCAGAGGTAGTTTTTCGAAGTAAAACAATAAAAGCAAGAATGTATGCACAATGCTTAGAATTTCTACTAGTTTTTTCTACTCAAAACACATATGGGAGGAGGACCCTTATTCTACAGTGAACAAAATGCGGCAAATTCCCACTAAAACTCGGTTACTGTCCATGTTTCCCATTCTTCCTCGTAGACAATGCTATAAAACTCGATGGCATAGAGAACTATCTGACATTCTAAGACTACTGCTTTGACTGGAACCCTAATTTCGACCTTTGAGAACAAAATTTTAAATGAAGAGCCAAACAGCTGAAAAACAATCTTGCTACTATGAAACATTAGAGATCCTTTTATAAAAAAACCCTGATCTATTTGGTCATTTTTCTAGAGAAGTGATTCAAGGCGCACACATGTGGATTTTTCGCCTTAAAACTTGCCATAATGTCGCACACACGTAGCTTTCCCACACCAGAGAAAAATTCAAAGGCTGTGAGTACAAAACATTGAGGTGCGAATCATTTCATTTCAATGTTATCCTATTGGCATTGAAATCGTCAGCTCAGACAACATTCGACGACTACACTTCCCAAGAAATCCTTAGAATCAATGGGATGCTCGAATAAACACGATAAAATTCTGCACTGCACGCACTAGAGGCGACGCGCCATTTTTGAAAATGACCGGCACGTGATTGCCCGGGATGCTCGTTGATTTGCTTCTTTGTTTTCGACGATCGGAGGTATTCGCCGAGATAGCTCTTTGAAAAAATTTCCCGCGCGCGCTCGTTTGAACGAATGTCTGCGGTGAACTTCCACTCACCAGGAAGGGTCATTAAGCCAACCCGGCCAAATGAAATGAGGTGCACATTTCTGTACGCAACATGACGCTGAACTCAAATCTGCTTTCATATCTGCTGAACTCTTCTCTGAAAGGAGTTGCGGATAGGTTTTGTTGCCACCCCACCCTTGATTTTCAGTGT